TGTATATTGCTTGTTTAACCTCAACAGACAAATCTTCACCATACAGTATCTCAAAAGTTAATGTAATTTAATAGTATGCCAAGTCTATGGTTAAGGGCATTCACGTGAAGCCGAAGCAGAATCAGTAAGCACTGGCTTCTAGCTTTAAGAAACTTTTTGCATGAGTTTATATCTTTTTTTCAAAATTAACCTTCAGAAAAAAAGGGGCACATTTCATTCTATGCACTGTTTGTATATGACATGTTCTGAATTGAGATCTGAACTGAAGATACTTTAAGTGTTTCATTTTCATAAAGTTTGTATAATGGTCAATATACAGTTGTTAGTGTGGCATTTCTATGCATCATAGAAGGAGGTCCAACAAGGATGTAAAGATACACCCAGGGATGTAGGCAATATATTTATATACTGTACCACATTTCCTGTTTTTATCATTCTGTGGTTTAAAAACAGTTCATGGCATACAGTACTCAAGCAACGCCATGATATTCTGATTAATTATGCCATGACAGGTTTTAACTGTCATGTAATCTGTATGCACTATGTGAAGTGTGTAAAATGTTGATGAAAGCAACACCATGTCCACAAATGACCCTTAATGTACGGTATGTAGAGGTTTAATCTTGCTAAAACCTGCTATATAATCTTAATGTATTTTCAGAATCTCCAATGACCTCAGTCAGTGACTAAAAGCGTATTAATGTTTGCAAAATAAGTTAGTAATTTGTTCAGTTAAGTTATTGAGAGCTTGGCTAGAATGAAAATTGAAATGCCCCATGGCTCTAAGGAATAAAATATAACACTAAATAAACTCAAATAAATTTCTAATGTATCAGAAAAGGGGGCACAACCAACATAGGAAACTACATTACATATGAGTAGAATTAAGGCAAAGTTTATCTAAATCTTAAAAAGCAGTTTTAAAAATTACATTTGAAAGAAGAGGTATTTTTTTGCTTACAGGAATTTCTCAAACAAGAAACAACATCAATAATAATCAATACACACAAAACAATTCTGTGTTATTATAAATGGTTCAATATACAGTAGGTGTGCCGCAGGGATCCATTCTAGTTCCATTGTTCTTTCTGATCTATCAGGAATCTGCCTATAACGTATTTCCTTTTGACCTATGTGCAGTATTTACAAGGAAATAGTTAGCAAACTAACAGTGGCAAGGGAATTGTGAAGATACTTTAAATCATAGAGTGAGTAAAATCTTAACAAATTAAATTTAATATCACTAAGTGTGTAGTCATCTACTGTACATTGATAATAGACTTACACTATGCTGTACATATTACTGTACATTACAGATTAAAGTAATCTTTAATTCAGAAAAAAAAAGATTAAAATAGTATAGACAGAGAAAATTCTTAAAATTAAATTGCTTTTCCTACTAAAACAGTTCTTACAGGGATGTAGAGTTTGAAAATAGATCAAACTGTCAAGTAAAGTATCTTATTTCTATCAGTGGAAACAGAGTGCTCCAGAAAGAGTAAAATCAAATATTTGTATGGGTGAATTTGCAGGAAGAACCTGGAATGGAATGTATTTAAAATATTTTGAATTACTTCTTGATGATACTGTACTGTATATGATAGATTCGGCTAATTCATCCAACAGTATGAAAAAATATTTTTAATAAAAAGGCTGATCAATTGTAATCAAATAGAAGCGATTCCCATGCACAGTTAGCAGTCACTTAATGTACTTTTGTATTAAATCAAATGCCTTTACTGTACGTTCAATGTTTTTAAACTGACACCAATACTAAAATGGTCAAAAATAGATACAAGAAGATACATCCAACAATAAAAATGTTTCAGAACCAAGACTAATGGATTTGTCGGTTCATTGTTACATGGCTCTCTGTAAACCTGCTGAGATGAGTGAGACAAGTAATTAATAAAGGGAAATTGGTCACAAATTGGCTTGTGTTGAAAACGAATAGATGCTGTTAATGAGAGAAAAAAAAGTGAATGCTGAGAAAATATTGATAGCATCAGTCTGACATAGATTGTTTCTTAGACCCTTAAGCAAAGCATTGAGCTTGAACTGGAAACTGAATTAAAATGAAAATAGAACATCCTCCATGGTTCATGAAATACAGGAATGAGCTTTAGTTTTTTTGTTGTTTGATATTTGTTTTTTTTTTTTACTAGATTTAAATGCTAATTCTGCTTGTTAATGGAATTACAAGATGAAAAAAAAATCAGTTAACACTGCCGGGCACTTTTTCCTCGATTGCCATCCTTTGGATTTCTGTGATGTGCTCATGGTAGGTGTCCTAGAGTATTGGATTTGTTTGAGAGAGTCAAAGAAATCTCATTAAGACTGTTAAATGAGTCGGCATGCCTTTTCTGTCCTACAGATGCAACTAATTTCCTGTTTTCTACAGATAATTATGAGGTAACTGGTAATACATTAGGGAACCAATGCTTATTACAAAAAAACTAAAAGCAATTCATTTTTTTTCAGATTCCATAAGTATTTGTGTGAGTGGTTACTATGTATTGAATTATTTACACAAAGTAAGTGTCTTTACATCACAGGAAAAAAAAAAAGATTCTTATACACGCAGTCACTCTATGTATGATAATTGAAATGTTTAAACTGTCATGATCTCATCTTGAAATGTTAAGAATAGGAAAGTTTTCTGAAAAAAAAAAGATTATAAACAATTCTGCAATTCTGTTTCAGAATCATCACACATGTAAACATTGAATATGTACCTGTGCAATGTATATACTGTACATATTTTATATGTAAATCTGGGTGGAAGAAAAGGATGAAAGTAAATATTTTGATCATTATGTTTGAGCAATTATATATGGTGTACATCAAGTTAAGATGATCACTTCTGAAGTTCTTAAAAATAAGACAACTATGGAAGTTTAATTAAAAAATGATAAGACAATATGTACTGTAAATACATTTAGTAGGTTTTTATTACAAGTACTGTATATTAAGATATTTCGACATTCTGTGGATGCTTTTTTTGAGGCAAAGTTTTGTTTTATTTTGCTATTGTTATGTTCCAAGGTGTTTATCTGGATCTTCTGTGACATCAGTTAAGACAAGAGCATAGACAATTTAGAACTACAGTATCAACCATAAACTGTAAGGATTTAAATTTCCCTTAAAGTGATACAGAAATTAGATTTATTGCTAACGAAAGATATGAGTCAGACAACCTGTATTGTATTTGAAAAGTCCAGGACAAACATGGGACACAAGCTCTTTTATCTTGCTCAAGAGACATGAAAGTTACTTATGTGATGCATTAGGAAAAGGTTGTGTGTTGGGGTGCATTTAAAAGAGTGTAAGCACACAACACCCAGAAATCCAATAAACGTGCAAAGTAAATAGAGTTCTCCATTCTCCACAAATACAGTTAAGGCTTACAATCCAAAGCAAAAGCCTATTTTTTAGAGTTGTTGTTTATTTTGTTTTCTTTCTGAAACCAGGGTAATTCCATCCTGATTGATTTCAGTTGGCTCCAATGTTTCCATATGAATAACGTGTTGACCTTACCCCTTTTATTTTTAGTGAAAATTTCAATAAATGGTATTCCAGGGGACAAAAGGTTTGAGCGTGATTCCTAAAGCTGAATGACCAACCATTCAAGAGACAGAGGTGGTCAAATTTGACTCAGTTTGGGTACCCAACACTACTGTAAGACATCCATATCCTAATCACTGATAAATCACTGATAAAAAGGGAGATTATAATAATTTTAAAGCTGGTTAATAAGGATGTAAAAAACTTGAATATCACAGTCTAGCCTTTTCCCTAATTTTTCTCTTGACCATTTTTTGGTTGATTCCATATGAAATGGCTCACCATATGCCGTTTACAACCATGCATAAAAAGTTCTCCCCCACATAACAGTAGTTGTCTAAAATGTATGTGTATGTTTGGGTTTTAACTTCTTTATCTCCATGATAGACTGTTCTGTGGTAGATCAAAGACTTAACTTGTAGTTCCCAGTTTTCTCTCTTTTCTGTCCTTTTGTCTCCCTTAATTGCCAGTTGGAAATGTACCTGCCCCCTGGGTAAGAGCACGTGAAAAAAAAAACAAGACTGTGCATGGGAGAGACCAACGGTATTTCTTTGTATCATCCAAACGGAGTGCTCTGTGAAGAAGCAGTATGACTGGGAGGGCTAAGAACCAATGATTCACTGTGGCATTTTTCTCCTGTTTTAGACACATCCATGTGTTTCATGGTCAGTAAGGACAGTGAACTTTCTCCCCAGGAAATAATAAACTCAAGTTTGTAGATATTTAACTTATAAGAGAAGACATAAAAAAACTAATCTAGAGGGGTACATCTTCTTCATATGAAGTTTAAATACAATTATAAAATATCTATGGCGGATAAGAAAATATCTGGCAGTTCTCACCCCATCCAAAATGGCAACAAGCACAAGAAGTGTTCTTAAGGTTCATGAAACTTAGCAATAAAGACTTCTAAAAACAATGCTCATTGTCCTTGTTCGTATCACTTTCCTATACTGGTGTCATTAGAGATAAGTTGCAAAATCTAGGTGTAAATAGGGCTTTTTTGCAGATACTGTATCTGGATTAGAAAGACCATCTCTGACATTTTTTGTGTTTGAAGGCAGAGTACCTATACTCTTCCGGAACACCACAGATATTCTGACACAATTTCCTTGCAGATCCAAACTTATCCTAATATGGTTTACCAGAGCTTAGCAGGTTGTTTTATTCAAAGCATAGCTCTGTTCTTTTGAGGGGTTGTCAGTTATATACAGTATACTGTATAAAGTCAATGCATCAATGTACAGTCAATGCTCTAGTTATACTTTTTAGTGTTTATTTGCATGTGTAATGCTTCCAATTTTTAATATCCTTCAAAATAACAAAATTTAAATACTATTCAATTGGCTCCCTGTGTTGTATGTTACAGGTGATAACCAAAAAAGGATTTTGATTTGTTTAAAATAAAATGGTAATCATTATGTCTCTTTCTACAGGCTAACAGGTTTCCAGATCCCACCTCCTGTTACAAGTACTGGATCTGTGTTTTCATTGCGTCTTACCAGTGATTTTGCAGTGAGTGCTCATGGATTTAAAATCTATTATGAAGGTAAGAGACGTTCTTGTCATAAATGAATTAATCATATGTATTTCATATTATGTACTTATGATGTACTGGTTATTTTGTTTTGTTTAAATGTACTGTATACAGTATCTCATTTTCTCATTGGAGCATTTCATCAACTTATACTTCTTTCGCTCAAATGCACAAATCCAGAAGATGAAGCAGTCAAATTACATCTTCTACACGCACTCTGATTGTGAACGTACATTTATTACAGCAGTTCATAAATGAACAACCACTCCCCATTCCTGCTAATAAATTATAAAGCAGCTTTTTGATCAATGTCAGTCAAGCTTTGATATAATTACAAGCTAAGGCTATGTCATAAGGTTGCCTGGAAACAGATAGATATCCTTTTATGTTAAAAAAAGATGTTCACAAGAACATTTATCAGACAGAAGGGTTTGAAATTAAGTATACAAAAATGGAAGAGCATAACAAATCCACAGATGTAATAATTTCTTTAATGTGTTCTTAGATTATTTATTTTTAACTTCTGTAATGGTACAGTGTGGTACAGTATGTGTAAATGTGTAGTGCAAGATGCAAAGCAATGTAATTGTGCGGTTCGTTTTCAAAAAGAAGCAAATTGCAATGATAAATGTCCTTTGTTATTGTTAATTCCACTACTGTTATAAGTATTACACTGATTTTTTTTCAATCAGAACTGTTTTTAATGTTTAAGGCACTTGCATTTATATCACTTTTCTGTAAAAGACATTTACTCCTTAAGGTATTATTAAGTATTACTTAAAGATATTTGTTGTATTTGTAACGCTTCTCAGTTTTTACTAATTTTTTGAGTAGAGGCTTAAGTGCTCTGTTGAGGACTGTGCTGGTATTTCTCCAAAGTTACAAGCCCTGTTTGTAAAGAAATTAATCTGAATCAAGTAAAAGGTATACATACTGTGAATGCTGCTTTCAGAAGTGCATAATTAATCATGTGGCAGATGGTAGAGAAAAGGGCATTAGTTTAGCTTTACAATCAAGCTGTTAATTTATTTTTATTTGCATGCAATTATGCACTGGGGATACCTAGAATACTGACCTGCTTGACTAGCACTAAAGCTTTACCCACCATGCCATTATTTCTGATGTCTGTCTAAGAACTCCAAAAAACACATTAATGTTATTTAATGAAGTAAATATTATGCCTGCGAATTTGGTTATTTAATATTGAACAACTCAATATTAATATTCATAGAACAGGTGTATGAAAAAAGTACACATGTTTTACTTATCACAGATTTGATATATCTTAATATTGAGGTATGTAGTATATACACAACATATTATTATTGCTCAGGTGGGTAGCTGCGTCAGCATGTGTAGGCTGCAAAGGAACAAGTAATAGGTTTATTCCATGCTGAAAAAAAGAAGAAAGAGAACACAACGTTTCGGCCGTGGAGCCTTCTTCAGGTGTGACACCTGAAGAAGGCTCCACGGCCGAAACGTTGTGTTCTCTTTCTTCTTTTTTTCAGCATGGAATAAACCTATTACTTGTTCCTATATTATTATTGCTGTTGGTAGCAGTAGTGCTCATGGCAAAAAGAGTACCAGTACTAATGAGAATTGTAGCAACGGTATAGTAATTAACTGAGGTGGTATTGTGCTGTAGTGCGGCACAATGCTGTTGAGTCTAGCATTGTTCTCTCACAGCACTGGGATTAGATTCCTAGTTTGCTGTCTGCGTGGAGTTTGTATGTTCTCCCCATGATTGTATGGGTTTTTGCTGGGTACTCCTGTTTCTTAACACAGTACACAGCCATACTGGTAGGTTAATTGGCTTATGGGAAAAATTGGCCCTGGTATTAGTGCATGCGTATCTGTGTCTCTGTGTGTGTGTCATGTCCCACACTCTCCCTCGCAAACACCGTTGCATTCCCAAACCCACTGTTTCGCAACCCCATTCCTAATTGAACACGTCACATTCCCACATGCACCAGATTCCACAATTTCTCACTCCCAGACCAATTATCCAACCACATCCCTTTACCTTCAGTATTTAAAGTTTCCTCACACACCAACCCTTGCTCACTATTGAGAAGCCTCCTGTAGTATTCTCTTGTGCTCGTTTCTTAGCCTTTTTGACTGATCTCCTGGTAACAAATCTTTGCTCCTGCCTTTTTGACCACGCCTTTTGGATTGTCTTTTGGATTTCACTTGTTACCGAACTCATTGCCTCCCTTATTGACCAAACCCCAGAATTAGGTCTTTTGGATCGTCCCTGTACTACTCCACATTCTGCGGGATTCATGGTTCCGCATAAGGATCCTCCTATTCTACCAATTGGATTCCTGACAGTGTGTCTGCCCTGCAATGGACTGGTGTCCTATCCAGGGTGTATCCCGCCTTATGTTTGGTGCTTGGATAGGTGGATAGGCTCTGGCTCCTCTGCGTCCCTGAATTGCATGAAGTGGTTATAAAATGAATGCATGCGTGGATGAATGAATGCAGTGTGGTGATATGTTGTGGTTAACACTACTTCCTCACAAATCCAGGGACTTAAGTTTGTCTCCAGTCTCAGTCATAGAGTTTGCATGTTCCCCTCTTGTTCATGTGAGTTTTTGCCAGTTGTTTTAATATCCTTCCTCCTAAGAGGACTCTCAGTGAGGGTTTACTCCCTGGTTCCCAGTACCTGGCCGAACATGACAGGATATTGCATCACCCAGTATGGTTAATGGAAACAACAATATTTTAGTATTTATTGATTATATACTATTATATATATATACTATTATATTATATATATTGATATATTAATATATATTATTTTTTCTAATTTAAGGGAATTAGCTCAGCATATTTCTGTAAATACCTATGAACCATTTTGTTTTTTAATGGATGAGTCACTCACCTACAGTACTTGGTGTATTCTGGCTGTTGTCTTCTGCTACTGAGATTCTTTTAAATAAGAATCTCTTACTGTATCCTCAGAATTGGTTTGGGAATACTGGTCACATTCAGCTAGTGATGGGCCCAGGCTCAAACCTGTGGCACAAGTGTTCTATAACTGTAAGTCAATAACTGCACCCATGAGAGAACCTTGTACCAGCTTCTGGGATTTATTTTTAATAATTTGTTAATAATTTACAACAACTGTCTTAATGTGCTCTTGCATTCATTTTTTTCAGATATCCTGGTACAGTATTTTACATATAGATCAAGCAATCTATAAATGTCTCTATAAATCACTAGAAATCTATAAATCATTGTGTTAATTCAATATATGGAACTTTATGCTTAACTAGTTGTGGTTTTCCCATTTTTTTAACATACTGTATACACACACTGTACTAACCATTTATCCAGCGAGGAACATTAGGAGTCTTACCACACTAAATGGTATTTCAGGACTGCATTTACTCCCAGGATACCTCTAATACAATGAAGAATGATGTTCACTAATGACTGGTATTAAACAAACATTCAGCATGTTCACACTTTGCTTCTGGAATCTGCATCACTTCGCATGAGCTGGCTGTGTATATGTGTACACAGCAGCACCTTGTGGAAATAAAGTGAAACCTATAATATCCCTCTAGCAGTTTCATTGATGTCATTGACTACTTGAAAGTCCCATGGAAACCATTCAAGTGTGAAAACCATATTCTTCTGAGCACATTGCATTAAAGCTGTGCCAAGCTACCTTTTTTCTCTGTGCCTTTTCTATTTTGTATTCTCAAACATCACTGTTTGCTGTCATATCTGTCTGAGTAATTATTTAGATATTTTATGTGTAATGCTCTTCACTTTTTATACATGATTTCTAAGATATGAGTCTAAAGATGATCGAAAGTATGAATCCAATTAATAGGTGAAATTACCCCAAAAAATGTTGTATAGTATGTGTATTTTGGTTGTACGTGTATTTCCTCTGGGTCTTATTTTTAATTTTATGCTCATTTAATTTTTGGTTTATTAAATCCAGGATTGTTTTGTCAGTGATTTATTTTATAAACACATGTTTCAAAAACATTATTGCACATTGTTTATATAATGACAAACATTTTTGGGGAACTTGGTGCTTTCTGTTCATTAGCCTCTGAGTGATAAGATAGTACCAGTGCCTTTGAAAATTCATTGGATTGGTGGGGTTATAACATCGGTTGCCATAGATTCAGAAAACGAATTCTTTAACCTCCTCTTCTTTTCATTTATAATGCAATCTAATGAGCCTGACTACAATCGGTCAGAGAATATCCCTTTAATGAATCCCAGCAGTGTACAACTACCAGTGAAAGTCTGAAGTTTCCATATTACAGACATACGACTGTAATTTTCCATTATAAAAAAAAAAAAACAGATTTGTCTGTTTCATGAGAAATGTACAGTACTCGTATAGGCACTTTGCTTCTTGTTCTAGCTTCAATTCACTGGTAGTTAAAAAAAATGACCCACTGAGCAATAAATACAAATTCTTCACTTCGGACAAGAAATCTGTTGTGCAGAAAAAACAACAACAAGGCTGCTGTCCCAGTCTTGTTCATGCTTACTGTGTGTATATTGTCACCATCAAAGTGTTGAATTTCCCTTGATTTGGTCTGATGCACAGTTACAGTGCAGTTCATATCCTCTGTCACATGTGGGTGAACAGAGAAACAATACGTATGCGAGCAGAGTGCTCCAAGCATACTGTAGCTCTTATCAGGTCAGAGTTTTTATATCTGGCAACCATCCTCTTTGCTATGAGCAGATGATAACACTATTTTGGGAGGGGTATGGGCATGGGGGCAGTTTAGCTAGACTAAATATTGATATAAAATCAGTGTTTTCTTATGGCACTCTGCAGTTCATTAAACTCAAGTAAAACCTCAATGGTAAGCTACTCCTGAATTCAATAAATAAAACAAAAACATTTTTTGCATGTTCTTTGTGCAGCAAAAACTGGAAATCCATTGCTGATACTAAGATACTACTACAAATCCACAGCTTCAATCTGTTGGCATGACCAGCTTATGAGCAGATCTATTCTGATTTTTAAA